TCAAAGTGCGCCTCTGCCACTTTTTTCCGCTAATACTGCCACTACTAGTACTAGATCATCAATATCATCTCTTTCTTTAAGAAACAATAATAACAATAATTACAACGTTAATGATAATAATAATAATAATAATAATAATAATAATAATAATAATAATAATAATAATAATTTGTTTGATGATTTAATTGGACCAGTTTCTCCAATTTCAATTTCACAAAATACTAATACTAATACTAATAACCTCAACAACAATAATAATATTATTATATCAAGTTCTTCAAATTTCGCTAAACCTGCATCAGCAACAACATTACAAAATCAACAACAAACATCAATTGATTCCAAAAAAAATGACAACGATGATATATGGGCAATAGCATCAAATCTTGTTAGTTTGGATTCTTTAGGCAAAGAGAAAAACAATAAACCAATCGAAAAGCCATCGATGAATTCTCTCACCCAATCTGATTGGTCAGTCAAAGGTACTTGGTCCAACAACAATATCAGTAATAACACTAGTAGTAATATTAGTAATGGTAATAATAATAATAATGCGACTTCAATATCTAATCAACAAAAATCTCGAGATCCATTTGATTTTTTATTATAAAATCTACTAAATTTCAGATATTTTTTCGGGGGTTTTTTTGAATGTTATATATAGATAAAAATTTTTTTTTTGAATGATATTAAATTGATTGATTAATTGATTAATTGTTAGAATAATTTTTCTTTTGTTTTTTTTCTTTTATATATTTTCTAAAAATTGTATTTTTAATAGATGACATAAAATATTTAATAGTAATAATAAAATATTATAATAATAACGCTGGTTATACTAATTATTATTCCCTTATTGTATATATATATATATAAAAGATTTTTTTGCCCCAAAAAAATTTACATAATAAAAAAACAAAAAACACGATATTGCTATAGTTACACGGATTGATTGGCTTTTTTGATTTTTTGATTCTAAAAACAACATCAAAAAAGACACTTATTGACGATTAAAGATTTTTATATGTGGAAAAAAAAAATCATCATCATTAATATTAATTAATTTATTGATAGATTATAAAATTTTTTTCGTGCATTGTTTTTTTTTTTAATCTATGGTGTATATAATATTTTATTTATTAAATAAAATAAATAAATTAATTTTTTTGTCGTCATTGTGGTTTATACAATTTTGCTTAGCAATTTAAAAATTAGAATTTAAATATTATATATATATATATATATATATATATATATATATTAGAATTATTATTTGAGTATTAGAAGAAAAGGAAGATAAAAAGGAAGAAAAAAATGGCAAAAGAAACTGACAACAGTAATAATAATAACAGTAATAGTAATAATAATGATGATGATAATATGAATGATCTTGCTCATAAATCTAAATTAATCTACAATGAGAAAACTTTGG